CCCCTCCCGCCTCACCCTCCCTCCCTCCCCGCTGCGAGGTGGGAGCCCCCTTTGCCCTTCAGGCCCCAGCCCTGCGAATGGCTGCCCCGGCCCGGGCAGCGGACGGACGCTGGGCAGCGGCTGCTGGCATCCCGCGGTGGCAGCGTGTGGCCCATCTGAGGGACGGGAGGAGATGGCGGGGTCGGAGGACGCCCAGGAGCCACACCTGAGAGAAACGCGCAGGAAGGGGAAGGGACAGTCTGAGAGGCAGAGCAAGGAGGGCTCGGGCTTCCAGAAAGCCCCCTTCGCTGAGAAATGCCAGAGTCCTTAGTAAGTGCCCGGCGGGGTGAATCGTCAGCCGCCGGAGAGAAGGGCACCTCGCTGCCCGCAATCGGTGCCGTGGTCGAAGGCACGGCGCGGGTGCCGCCGGGCTGGCAGCGCTGTGGGCGGCGGCCAGCAGTGCCGCCTGCTCCCCGGGGAGCCGAGAGCACCTCAGAAGGGGGCGGGGGCCGCGGCCGAGGAGGAACTGATGACCGCCCCCCGGGTGGCGGCGCCAGGGCCAGCAGTCCCCGGGCGCAGGGGGACGGGAGAGCCGGAGCGAGAACCTTAGCAAATAATCCTCCCATCAGGCAGCAGTCTGCCGGTGCCGTGTTTGGACTTCGGCGATTTTATATCGAAGGGCCTGATGCTGTTTTCACGGGTCCCGAGTCCCACGGTCCTGAGCCCGTTTGTGGGCGCCCGAGTGTTTCTGCCACCTGGTTTCCTGGGTTTCTTTCTGTTTTTGTTTTATGATCCGTGTTGAGTTAGCAATACAGTGAAGAGGGAAAGAACCTGTTATCGCCAGTGTCTCAGCAAGATGAAGAAATAGCGACACGATCCTTCGAAGAAAACCGTGCTCCTGCCGTTAGGCAGTTAACACGCAGCCTGCGGGCCTCGGGCCACCCCGCCCAGAACAGCCGCGGTCCGCTGCGGCGGTTTCCCAGGCGGAAGGACGGGCCTCAGAGACAGGGCACGTGTCTTACACCTGATTGTCGCCCAGACAGGAGAGCAGGTGGTCTGGGGCCTGTAGCTGGCTTTTCCTGGGCGGCTCTGGGCTCTCTCAGCATCTTTCCACCAAGTCCTTCCAGCTGTTTCCTCGAAGCCGCAGGGTGGGCTAGGATGGGGCCGCCAGAGGCCGCGGAGACTGTGTGTACTCTGCGTGTTATAATCTACTTAAAGAAACGTGTCCCTTTGCAGGGCACTTACAATGGATGCAAAACCATCACTTTTTTTTTTTTTTTTTTTGAGGNTTTTTTTTTTTTTTTTTTAAGATATGGTAGGTAAAATTTTTCTAGCACGCCGGTTTAGTGTTTTTCCAAGTCTTGAATCCTGGAACTCTTACATTTGATGCTTTTACGGTTTCACTCCCAGCTTCATATTTGCATTATGGTCACGCCCTGTTTGGCTCAACATGTTGGCACCTCTTTGGAGATCCTGACTCTGCCGTGTGGCTGGTATGAAACCAGGCATTTGCCAGGGGCTAGGGCTCCGTTCTCGGTAACTGGGCTTTGCTCTGGGTCCAAAGGGCAACCTCCCCGTTCATTTTCTCGGCCGCCGGGAGCCAGACACCTTCCTCCCGGCAGCAGTGCACTGAGCGCTGATGGAAATGCCCAGGCTGCTCGCGCCCACTCCGCAGCGACCCACGCACTTGACCCACCCCCGTGACCCTGTTCACGCCTCTCTTCGTGGCACTGTCGGAAGGTTCCATGCCATCCAGCTCTTTAATTGTATGTAACTTTTAAAAAAAGTAAACCTATTGCACACTAAATCTTTTAAAAGAAGCTCGGAAGCCAGGAAGCCAGGTTTTAAAAGCTACATAATATTTCAGGGAAGGAAACGTCTACCTGAAACAGGCGGTGTAACAAGTGTGGTTTGGCTGACTTGATACATCCTGATCCTGATGGGAGGGTCCTGGTGCACGGTGTCGGTTGCCTCAGTTACTTATTTTTAGAAATGGAGCTCTTAATGAAATACGTGTACAATCACTTGGCAGGAAGCATACTAAGAGATGGAGCTAAGTTTGCAGCTGGCCGTTGGAGCTGGCAGCCTAACAGAGGGTCAAAGATGTCCTTATCTTACCGTGTCACACAGGCAGATCACTGTGACATGGTCAGATAGAGGACTTGGGAAATGAGAAGTGGGCTAAGCACAGAGTGGAGTCCGAGAAGCTTATCAAATCTGAGGGACAATAACCGGGGGGAGGGGCTCACAAACGCCGAGAGAGGCTACAACAGGCCAGCGCAGGATACATTTTAACCCACATAAATGTTTCCATTGAGGTTTTCAAACTGCACAGAGAGGTTATTAGAATAGTTTACACAGAAGAAAACTCGGACACACCCTGATGAGAGAATTCACTTAGTGTCACCCAGCGTCGCCTGCTGTCCTCTGCACTCTGGTGGTGCCACGGAGCTCTGCGCGAGGCGACTTTGGCTTAAGGCTGTCCGGACTCACATCCTCCCCCCTAGCTGTACACCCCTTGGTCAAGTTCTTTAACCTCTGTGTCGACATGGAGGGTTATCAACCCACCACAGGTGATTGTTGTGAAATTGAGGTATTTCATTGAAAATGCTTAGCATGGCCCTGGCGTGATAAGCATCGGCTGTGCTATCTGACTGTGCTTGATCTGTATGTTTTCGGGAGGAATAGTGACTCCAGTGACGGTCAATTGAGGATCAACTGACTACTTTTTAATTTTCAGTAACAGGGAGGGCACAAGAGGGGTGTATTNATGATAAGCATCGGCTGTGCTATCCGACTGTGCTTGGTCTGTATGTTTTCGGGAGGAATAGTGACTCCAGGGACGGTCAATTGAGGATCAACTGACTACTTTTTAATTTTCAGTAACAGGGAGGGCACAAGAGGGGTGTATTTTTTAAAAGTTATACATTTGAGCGAGAGTTGGGCAGCCAGGAGTTGGGGAGAGGTGCTCTGAAGGGCTGTTTGTGAAAAGATAAGGGCCCTGGGATGTCCCAGCCTAGGGAAACCTAAGGGGCGGAAGCAGCGGTCTTCAAATATCCTTAAGGGCAGTCGGTGAAGATGGCGGGAATCAGAACCCGATCCATAAAACAGGGGAGACAGCTCTAGCCCAGCCTCAGGCGCGTTCCTCACGTGAGCGCGCCTCACTGGGAGAGCTCGTCCTAATTGCTGCGCTGCCGCAGAGAGGTCTGTGAACAGGAGCGGGACTGGGCGACCTCCGGAGACCACCCTCCTCCCAATTCCGATATATAACTCTAAATATAACTCTTCCTAAGTCTAACCTGCACACCCCTTTCTTCGTAGCTTACAGGCTCCCCTGAATTGACTCATGGCCCCTGGCAGGTATAATGAAAATGCTGCGGAGGCCGCTTCTGCTGTATCCTATTGCCTGAAACTTTCACTGAGTGTAGAACTCCAGGTTTTCTGGGCCAAGCACCCGGCAATTGCACCCAATGACTGGTTAACAGTGGGCGGGTGTATCCATCCATCCATCCATCCATCCATCCATCCATCCATCCATCCATCCATCCATCCATCCTTCCATCCTTCCATCCTTCCATCCTTCCATCCATCCATCCATCCATCCATCCATCCATCCATCCATGCACACACTAGTAACCCTTAAAAAGTCGGTTAAAACCATCTTATCTTTATGAAACAGGAAGTTAATATATCTGCACTTTGCTCTCTTCTAGGCTATTCTCATGGATCACAACTGCCCCGTTAAAACAAAAATGTACACTCAGAACAATGTCCAGTCGTATCCGCTAGGTGACGAAGAATCTGAAAGTGACTGAGACCCTCAAAAGTCATCACAGTATGTCATCGTATGAAGCAGTGTTTCCAGTGAAATGACTCACCCAGAACCGTCTTAGTCACCCCTTCATCCCAGGTGAAGCAGTAGGACCACCAAAGGTTATCATTTCTTTCCCAAGGTTATGATCGACTGCCAACAGCCTTATAAAGAAAAAGCAGCTTTTCTAGGGGTTTGTATAAAGTGTTGAAAACTTTATTTTATGTATTTGGTTTTATTAAATATTATACAATATATTTTGACGAAATAGATATAGTGTAAATCTATAAATATTTGAATCCAAATCAGATATAATTTTTTAACTTACATTCACGAACACTTGGGCAAAAAAACCTTGTATTTTTTCTGAATACTGGTAATGCGTGTTTAAAACGAAAGCACACATTATCTCCGAGACACTTCCCACAATAAGACACTAGAAGGAAGTCTGAAAAGCAAGACAGCGTATGGTTACATAGTGACACTGAGTGCTGAGTTACTCAACTTGTAATTATCATCAATAGACGCGAGTTAAAAGCTAGTTGTCTCAGATGCAGACGACGAGAACTTGAGTCAGTTACCTTGTGGATTTCTCCATAAATCCTGGCTGGCACTAGGTACCTATATGTAATCACCTACCTGGAAGCAGCTGGTTGTAAATTATGTGTTTACATGTCATGTGGTTGGCAGCAAGCACTGAAGCCAGTAAGGGAAAAAATAGTACATGTTCTGAAAGCAGAGAAAAGCACCCACATGAACAGTTATGAACTAGCAGCTTTCCCTTTAAGATACGTACTTGACTGTCTTACTGGATGAGAGAAAACGGAGGGTGGATGTACCTTGTCACGGTTGTCGAAGCATGGCAAGAGAGGTCAGCGTCTAGTTCAGGTCTTAGAAAATAAATTTTAAAAGCTAATTAATAGCTGCTAAGACATAGAAGAAAAAAATCAGACTATATCATCTTTGACCTGTTTGGAGGTCATCCAAGTGTTTCCTAGGGATCTATTAATTTTGAGTTGTCTGAAGCTATTATTTCCTAGACTTCTGAAAGGTGTTAACATCAATGTGAACATTTTTAAATGCAGAGGAAGGAACGAAATGATGTCTTGAATCATGTTAGGAAAACAGGTGTAAGCAACAGGGTGGTCAGGACACGCCCCCTTCCAGGCAGGAAGAACCCCAACACCTAAAGCCGTCCCTGTGCTCCCGTCTCTAGTGCTGTGTGCTGTCGCTTCTCCAAGCTGCCCTCCGCGCCCTCGGTGCAGCAGCAAGTACTGTTTGTGAGCGTTGTCGGGTTTTGTACGAGGTGACCGGCGTGCCGAGTGTGTCGGGCCTCAAGTACCTGTTACCTCTGGAACTGTAAACAAACATTACCCACCGCCAGTTCTTTTGTTAAGCTAAAGCTGTTTAACTCGGGCTGGGAGCAAAGAACCTGGGCAGGGGGACCCCGCCTTTTCGTTCCCGGGGCAGCTAAGGCTTCCCTCCCCTCGTGCAGCTTCCCTGCGGGGCTGGGGCGCAGGGTGCTGGAGGCAAACGCGCCTCCGCTCGCCCCTTGCCCACTCGCGCTGGGCCGCTCCTGCCCGTCGGCTGCCCCGGGGGGCGGCTCGGGAGGTGCGCTCCATGAATTTGAGGCGGGTTCCCCGCTTCCACGGGGGCCCTCAAAACGGTGGTGCTACACATCAGTTGGTTCTCTTGGAGGGCTCGTGGCTCCCCGGCCCCAGGGCCATAGAACTTACTATTGTATTTTTGCCTTGAAGATTTCAGTATCTTCAAGAATGACTGGCAAAGGCACACCCGCTGCCCCCCCAGGGACGGGTGCCCTGAGAGATGTGGGGCTTCAGAGCCGCTGGAGCGATGGCATCAGCTGTATATGGGGGGGCGGAATTGTAGGGTCTTTCATGTGACTAATATTCTGGGGCGAGCCAAGAGTGGAGAGAGGCTTTAAAAAAAATGATGTGAGAACAAAGAACATGCAGCTCCGAGTTTCCTTGAGCAGAGGTGGTTTTTGTTTGTACCTGGCAAAGATACAAAACCTTAATGAGGTAGCAATGAATATTCAGTTCTTTCTTCTGACTGCTAAGTGTACCTGCTGTCGTGTTTTAGCTAGTCTACTTAATAAATCTTCTGAACACTCCTGTGCCTGTTTGCATTCCTTTCTAAACCAGACATCATTGTTGGAATCAAATACGTAAGGTATTGTTTTGACTGTTGATATTTAATTAAAAACTGTTCTCTGCTTGCAGGCTTCAGGTAAAATCTGCTCCAGGTTAGTGTGAACCATACACTTTGGCTTTGAAAATGTTTTAAATTGAACTAGTCACATGTCATCAATGTGGGAAAACTCAGTAAGTTATCCCTGTATCTCTACAGTTGTATTATTTTCCTGACTGCTGTGAACAAATATATCTGATAAAAATAATGTGGCCATTTGATACAGTGGGCCCTGCCCCCTGGCAGTCCCATGAAACCTGTGGTGTGCATGTGTATCTTTCAGGAGTGAGTCTAGTTTTAATCAGATGTTTAAGCGGATCCATGGCTTAAAAAGGATTAAAGGACGCCCCCCTCTTTTATAAGGAACGCTATTATCTCAATTTAGAAATAAAGACAACACATTTTTAAATTAAAGTGGTTTTAAATTTACTCACTTTTAGGGCATTTAAGATTTTATTATCTTACTATTAGTAAGAGCCAAATATTTTCAAATTGCCTTTCAAAAAATTCAGATATACTTACATTTACAACCTGGAAGTACCCTCAAATTTTTAGCTGTTTTCTTTTTTCAAAATCACAAATGGCCACATAGTATTCAACTAGTTCTGATATTAAAGAATATAAGGCTTAACACTAAGAAACGTAGCATATTAATTCTGTTCCAAAACAGTGCTAAAATGTTGCTCAGCTTGATTGTCTAACCCAATCATTAAATACCAATGTAGAAAACACACTTTAAATAGTCTAATTACTAACAGGTAGCAGAGGCAAATCCATAAATAAAACGAGAGTAAACCCAAAATTTAATGCTTAGGCAATTTTCAAAATAGCAATTTTGTTTAACTGGACTGTTGAGCTTGTCTGCATGGCCAAATTATACCAGGCTCTACTTCCACAGAGATGCAGCAACCACTTTTTTCAGATGTCATCAAATGAAGATATTCTTGTTTTCCGTGGTAGTTTTTATTTATTATTTTTTAGCTATTGATAACATAGCATGGCAGCAAGATTACATCAGGAGTTTAATATAATACAACTGTTTTCACTGAAGCCTTGTACCTTCCTCTCCCTTAGGCTATTTGGGGCGTTCCCCTTGCACTAAAGTACAACTGTGATGCCTCTACTGCTTCTCCCACTGTATATATAAAATATTGCACTACAGTAAAGGTATATTTTACAAATATCATGAGTAGCATTACTGAGCTTTCCGTAACTGTGGCTCTACAGATTTAAGTATCTTTGAAGTACAAGTCGATTTTTATGAAACCAAAGCTTTGCATTAATTACTCTGAGGCTCTTTGAAAAGCGTCAGGTTCAGCAGCATGCTTGGATGTCACTAGAACTTCCATGTACGATCCATAAACACCAGCCACTCAGACATTCCACCTTCCAGGTTATCAATGGTAAGTTATGTTTTATAGATGAAAGCTGGTTATTACACTGGGCAGATTGTTTCAAGTGTATGTTACAGAACAACATTTTAGCTTTCAGAGAATTTTGTGTATACAGACTTCTATAGCAGGGTTCTTTTAAAATGCAAGCATGCTTAAACAAACAGGGTATACACAGCTATATTTTTGCTATTAACTTGGCCAAGGAAGTACTGTTTCCTAATATTTCATTTAATAGCAGAAATGAGAATTGGCTATTCATTTTTAAAGTGGAGTAAATTTTCTACCCTCAAAAATGTTTTTATCGCCCATATAAGTCATACCTTTTATTTGAATAGCTTTTTACTGTTCAGAGCACTTAGTTATGCTGTTGCTTCCCTCACAACAATCCTGTGAGGAAGAGTAAATCTTGAGTATTCCTACTTGGGAGCTGGGGAGACTGCGACACAGGGCCGTTTAGTGGCCTGCTGATGGTCATACAGTTCATTCACAGCCAGTGAAGAGCTGGAACTTTCACTCTCGTATCACACTATGCCTTTTTCTGCCAGCCATACAAGCCGTCCCATCTAGTTTTAAATTCACGTCAGTTTTACTATATATCAATGATCATAGTAGTTACCTACAAAAGGGAAAACACATGCGTATCTTTTTATAGGCATATGGAAGGCCAAAACTTTCATGGAATACCAACAGAGGTCAGGCTCACGTTTTCCCTCAGCCACGTGTTACTGGAATCCACAGGATGGACCAAAAATCAGAGTAGATCTTCATTTTCAGAGAACGGGTCCCAATTCCTACGTATACTGTCTATTTAGTTAATTTTCCTTTTTTTAATGAATGAAGATAGTCTGAACTACAGAAACATTCAGAACAATCACCATTCCTTTAAGCCAGTAAGATGTCCGACAAAGCAATAAATCTATTTTGCATGATTCTTTCACAACAGTTTCCTGCATGAAAACATTTCTAAAACACAAACAGCCCAAACCAGTATCAACCCGGTCATTTTAAGAACAGTCCTCTGAAACTTTGTGTCCTTGCACATGCTTTATTTCTATGGGAGAACGGAAGATGAAAAATAATCATAAATGTTTAGAACTTCCATTGAAAAGGAAAGCAACATTTTGAAAGATTATATTTCAAAATCCTACTGGTTGCTGTTTTTTAGTAATCTTGTTATCTCTACAAAATTCTTTTTCAACTACATCCTATATTTACTCCTTGTTACATTTTGTTTTTCAGTGCAAGCTCTTCAAGTTATTCATTCACTATATTCTTACTATACTTCAACTCACAGAAACTTTAGAAAAAAATTTCAGAGGCATAGAAAGCAAGCAATATATGTGAAATTTTTTTTACTAAATCAGCATAACTGACTAAAGCCACAGTATCTGCTTTCATGTTGTATTTGGCAAAAACAAAACAAAAAGCACCCCCAAGCCCCAAAATAATAAAAATCTCAAGCAAGTAGGATGACAAACTTCATAACACAAAGTAAGATTCAAAACCTGTTCCCTCAACGATTGCTGCTGTCAATTCGGCATGCAGCAATCTTTATAACCGTGATAGAAATAAAAATATTACAACAATCTGGACAGTATCCTATTTAACACTAATTCAAAAAAGAGGAAGGAAAATAGCATGAGACATCAACATACATAAATATGAAACATCAGCTTACATAATTCCATAATTAGAAAAAGTTAAAAATAAATTAGTAAAAATAAATTCCAAGTATAAACCCAAAAGGCATAGCTATAAATGCAATCTGAAACAACCAATTTAGTGAGCTGGTCATGTTTTTGCTGGAACAACCTTTTCATTCTTGCTCTTTAACACAAGCAAATAACTGGAGAAGCAGGCCAGTGCGTTATAAGAGGGTTTAAATGTGGTTATATCTGTGGTACTTGAGATGCAACTTTCCCCCAATCACTTGGAAGTTTAAATAGACTGTCACACAGATTCAGATGGGCCAAATAAGTCATCTGAAATGCTGCTGAATGGCTGAGAGTCTATTAGTTGGGTTATTTCATTATCAAACTCTTCTTCTGTGTCATCTGTGTACTTGCTTATTTTTTTAGAGTGCTGGTCTAAGGACAGACTTTCTAAAGATTCGATATCTTCAATGCCTGCTCTGTAGTGGATCATAAGAAGTGTCAGAGCTTGTAGTCTTTCACCTGACTTACCCAAAGCAGCAGAAAGAAGTGATTTTTTCCTTGTATCAGTCGTCTCTTTTTCTTCTCTAAGAAGGGAATTGTTATGTTCCAACTCCTGATCAATTTCATTCTGCAGCTTATCCAGCATGAACTCCAGTTTCTGGATCCTCTCCTCTGTGGGCAAGCCCCTGTACAGGTCACGGCCGATTTCTTTAACTGCAATGAAGACGCTGTCATCCAGGCCACCCTCCTTTCTCACTAACTTTATTCCTGTGTTGTTTCCCCGTTTAGAAGGACTGTTTGGACCACACACCTCTGTGTCACTGCCTTCATTGTCTGATGTGTTGGGTGTGTGTTTTGGTGAAGGTTCTACTAGATCAGTTCCTGGTTCAGAAAGGCGAGTTTTAGAGACTTGACGCAAATTTAACAAACGAGAGCTAGTATTGATAATGTGCCTTGTCAGGCCTGTCGTTTTATTGACTGACTTGCTAGCTTCGGCATCAGTACGAGCAGGCAGGCCCAGGAGGGTTTCCTGTCCTTCCAGCCTGAGGTTTTTCAGGGTCCGGTCTATCCGCCTCTCAGTTGCTCCACAGAGAGGAATCTCGGCTAAACACTTTTCCTGGCATTTTTTATGGCAAACATAGGCACAGATCATACACTGGGAAGCGGCTTTAGTCCACACTTTTTTCTTGCAGTAATCACACCAAGTTGGGTTCTGGAACTGAGTATCCTGGAAACTATGCTTATTTTCTGTTAAACCCATCTGTCCAACGAAGTGCTCCTCTTTGGGTAAGGCAGAGACTTCTTCGACCAAATGAAATTCTTTTTCTTTCTCCAAGTTACTAACTATATGGTGGTCCATTTCTCCTTCTTTCAAATACTTGAAGTGAATAGTAATGTCACCAAAGCAAAATTTGTCATTGAATCCCTTTTGCATACTCAGGTTGCGGAGTGCGGTTCTCGTGACCATGGCCTTCGGTGACGGGGCTTCCAGTCTGAACTTTGAAAGGTACTCCATGTTTGATGTAGTTAGGCATCCTAAAGCCACCTCTTCAAGCTTTAGGCTAACATGCCCCAAACAGATGAGCCCCCCCAACTTGAAAGGATCCCTGCACCACAGGGCAATGTTTAAGTACCGGTGGCAGGCTTCTATGTCAAAGAAACAGGTTGCTCTGGCTCTTGTCCATTTTCCTAGCTTATTACGATAGGGGATTTCTGAAGATTCCCACGTTTGCGGGTCATCCGAACTGTCCTTAGGAGGGCAGGGGCTTTCTGAAGTCCAGTCCTTCCCTGCTTCCTGCTTTGCTAAAGACTGCTTAGATGCAGCTGCGTCCTCCACGTGATCCGTGTTCTTTGCTTGCTTTTCAGCAGGTTTATCTGCAGGAGGAGGAGGCAGCAGCTTTTCTGGCTTTTCAACAAGACCATCTGGCTCCGCCTGACCTGGGGCATCAGCAGAAGGCAAAGGAACTTTCATTTGCGGTCGTGGTGGCACAGGTGGTTTGAAAGTGGATGCTTGGGTGGGTTTTGACACTTGTGCTGGGTCTGTTGTCTCAGAAGGTTTTAGGGCTAAGGATTTGTTTCCTTCTTTGGATAGAAGTTTGGGTGGTGGTGGTGGGTGACTTCCTGTAACTAATTTACGGTTTAAAACTGGTGATATCGTTCCAAGGGGTCTAACTGAAGGTGTTGTTGGAGTACGTTTGGGACTATGACTTGCTGACTGCGCCTCATCTTTGAACTCATTTTGTGCCCTGACATCACTTGCCAAATCTTCAAATTCCAAATCCAGGTCTCTATTTTCAGTGTCTACTGCCAACCCAGTTTCCTCTTCATAATTTGGTTGGCATGAGCTTGACAGAAAGTTTTCTTCCAACTGTCCAAAATTATCTTGCAGAACTGCACTCTGATTACTCTGGCCAACAGGCCTCTCATAATACACCAGGACTCGGTCCCCAGCCTGTTTGATGAGCTTCAACACCTGCAGTGTAGATGTGATTTTCACACCTGTGTTAAGATTTTAAAAGAGAAAACATAAATTACTGAAATGAGAATTACCTAAATTGCTAAATATAACAGCCATTAATTCATGATTATTTGATGAGTGAAAAAATAATATGGAAACCTCCAAAATATATTATTGGCTTTTGGAAGCATCTGTGTACTGATTCTCAAACCCTGAGAGCACTGATATGCTAGAACTGTTTACCTTTTTAAACCAAATGATGACACGAAAATCCTTAGGGGGCCCAGCTGGTAACACCTAATTGCTCCCCATTCCATCCCAGGTTTAAATGACACTTTCTCAGTTTAAGTGAGCAGAGTGAGACCTAATGAAAAGGATTTTATTAAGGTTAAACCAGACTTAGAATGATGGGAAACTGATTCTACTGAAGGAAATCCCAAAATATACCAGGGATTATAAGCAATTGGTTCAAATTAAGAGACTGATGCTTGAAATAAACTTTGAAAAATACTCTTTTACAGATTCTTTTTGTTAGCTTTACCCATTGAACTAATCCTTTTCAAACCAGAAAAAATAAGGCATAAGTTGCCTCCAAGTTGGTTACTATCTGCATCTACAGTGACAATATCTAAAGTTTTCATTTTAATATTTTCTAATAGGTGCTACATTAACATAGTTCAAAATTCAAAAGGTACAAACGATGTATACTGAAAAATCTCCCTTCCACCTCTGTCTCCTAGCAATACTCTTCCTTCCTTGAGGCTATCAAAGCCAGCAGCTTCTAGTATGTTCTAGAGATTTTCTAGGTATATCATTTACAGGCTCCATTTGTTTCCTGCCCTTTCGCTACCCTCCTCCAAACGGTACTTACCCAAGCTATACCTTTCTGCAGGACTTAGTGAAAGGTGAGACATGTTTTTGCTTTCCAGAGGTCTTAGGACCATCCTAAATAAATCAACGTCACACCAGCCCCATCTAATAACCGGACCTTAGAGCTCCTCAACCTAAAACCTCTCCTGCTGCAGCTGCCCAGGGAAGACCATGCTTCAGACCTGGTAATCACTTGGAGCTTGTCCACATCACTTGGAAATTAATTTCTGGTCACAATCTCCTATTTTACACCTCTGACAATCCTGTCTGCTAACTGGATCTGTTTTGAGGTAATTTCCAGATCTAATAATACCTCCTTTGCTCTCATGGTCCAGCTGGTTCTCCTGATATCACCTGCTCTTCTCCCCGGCCTCAGTCTCAAGACTTCAGTGATGTTCATATCAGGATTTTCTATTCCTTTGCCCTGGCTCTTCCCTCTTCTACATCTACCTGTCTCTCTGATTCCCAGCTCTGCTAGCCCCACCCTCCCCCTTCTCCTGAGACGACTGCCTGATCTAGCACCAAGTTACGCTCTCTATCTTCAGCAAGGCGTTCAGTGCTGCCTTAGCATTCTGTTGAATGGTCTCTGAACAACTGAGTCTCTAAAACACCAGCTTCAAACCTCTCCTAGTCACCTGAAGCCCACTATTCCTGCTCTTCTATTCTGTGGATGACATCACCTAATTTACTGGAAAGGTCAACAAGCAACCACCCTTTCTTCCTGCCAATCATTTTTAGTACTAACCTATCTCAGAAGAGGGAGTATCCCTTTCTCCTTGTACTCTGGGTCCCACTCTCCCCCAAACCATATCCTTCAGCAGTTTGCTCCATCAATTATCCTTGCTCATACTTTTATTCCCTTCCTCCTGCTTTAAAACTGTTTTCATGCCTAGCCAGGCATGGCTCAGAGGTTGAGCATGGACCTAGGATCCAGGAGATCGCAGTTCGATTCCTGGTCAGGTCACATGCCCGGGGTGTGGACTTGATTCCCAGTTGGGGGCATGTAGGAGGCAGCTGATCAATGACACTCATCAGTTATGTTTCTATCTCTCCCCCTCTCCCTTCCTCTCTCTGAAATCAATGAAGATATATTTAAAAAAACACACAAAAAACTGTTTTCATGACACTGTACTAATTTGGTTCAGCTCATCTCTCCTCTGCCTTTTCTCCACCTATACCTGCCTCCTGTATGCAAACATCCCCATGGTTTTGTCTGCCTTTCTGCCCTCTTCCTGCATCACAACCACTTCATTAGTTTCAACTATCAACTCTTCCTTTGTCTCCCCTCTTGTCCTACATTCCCAACTACTTCTGGAAATCACTACCTGGATGTTTCTTTGACACTACAAAGTCAGTGTAGTTAAAAACTCTCTTTGATCTTCTCATGCTCCTGTCCTCATTACTATGTGCATCTACTTGCCACCCTCTCAGTTCAACTGACACGAGTCCCAGAGATGGTGGACCCCCTACTCAGCTGTCAGTTCTGTCAGAGTTCCAGTCCACCGTCATCTCCTCTTCAGACCCTCCGATCACTGCCTTCAACTATAGTAATGAACAGCTTTTTACTATGATCCCCCACTCACACCTTCCCTATTTCAATCACCCAACATATTGCTCCCCAATTTTCCTAAAGGCTTAGGCTCAAAAACCTTTGGCCTATAAACTCATCACACAGAAATCCAGAGCTTTCTAACATGGCTCTTCATGATTCATCCAGCTTTGACTTCTACTACTTCCCTCTAACCACACTATGTCCCAGCAAAATTGCAGTTTGACATACACATAAATGAAAAATAAGTCCATCTAATGATCTGTAGTAGGCAAATACTTCACCCAATCTAAACCCATTCTTTGTGACTTAACACTTGCCCTTCCCCAGCCACCAAGAGCCACGTGGAGATGGCCACTGTGCCTCTTAGAACTGGTTGGCCAAATTGGGATACCTTTTCTTTTGGAATATTTCTAATATACACAAAAGTAGAGGAAATAGTAAAATGAACTCCATTACTGAGTTTCAAATAAAACAAACATTTTGTTAATCTTATTTCAACTGTCATGAATCCCATTACTAAATACTCAAAAAGTTATTATAGACCCATATAAATGAATTATAGCTATAAAAAAATGAATAGCACACCTGCCCCTTATCTCAATTTTTCAAAAAATGTTAGATATACTTTTCCACTCAGCACACATTTATATTGTTTGGATTTATTTTTTATAATAGATATTTACTACTTGTGTAAAAACAAAAACCTTTCAAAAAAGTACATAAGAAAAAAATTAATTTTATCCAAAACCAAAACAGGGTATGTGTGCATATTAAAAATTTTNTGTAGGCAAAACCAAAACAGGGTATGTGTGCATATTAAAAATTTTATACTGAATTATGGTTTTAAATGGGAAAGAGTAACTCTTATGTTTATGTTAAACAATTAAGTAACTGATGAGGTTTATTTTATGGCTTTGCTATCCTAAGTGTCTATGGCATATGTGTATTTATTTATTACATTTACTGGGGTGACACTGGTTAATAGGATCATACAGGTTTTAGGTGTGGATTTCTGTTACAAAAGCATATGTGTTTTAAATTAAATTTTAAGATTTCCTTCAGATTTTTATTTATAATAAAGTTATTACTTTCTTTCCATTATAAAAATAACATGTGCTTATAAAAATAAAGAAGAGAGGAAAGCTCCCACAGCTTTCTCTGTAAATGTGAAGTATGCTGCATATTAGCAAAATTACCTCCAATTGCAATCAGTCGATCTCCTCGCTGAAGATCAGCAATTGCAGCAGGCGAGTTGGGGGCCACAGTCTCAATGATCACATGCCCAGCGTACCCTTCAGTTGACTGGACAAGGCGAAGTGTAAGTCCGACACTTTGTAAATTCCCCTTAATTAATTCAACCTTTGATAAAGGGGAAAAAAATGAAGACATTCAAAGGATTCATAGTAGTGGAGTGAGAAAACATTAACACACTGAGAACACTACAGTTGATATTGACTTTTGTACCACGATGACTATTATTACAGACAAATAGAGGAAGGAAATTTTTATTGTGACAGTACACACAACACATATAAATCTCAAAGATGTGCTGAGTGAAAGGAGTCAAACACAAAAGACGATATACTCTAGGATTCAATTATTAGGAAATTCTGGAAAAGGCAAAATTATAGTGACAGAAATATTAATACTTGCCAAGGACTAGGGGTTGAGACTGAATATTGAGAGCAAGTAGCACAAGTAAAGTTTTCAAGGTGAAAGAAATATTCTGTATCTTGATTGGGGTGAAGGTTACATGACTATATACTATTACCAAAATTCACCAACTGCACATTTAGTGATTTTACTGTATTTAAATTGTATCTTATTAAAAGCTATTAAAAATAAAGCAAAAACAAAACCTTTAATAGGCCATTTTTGTCTTAGGACACTTAAAGATACAGATTCCCACTAATTCATTCAGATAGCCCTTGGTTTTCCAATATACTTAAGCCCTCCACCTCAATGCCATAACAACCACCTTTAAACCCTGTTTCTGTTTTTAGTTATTGTAGGGATTACCTTCTTTTCCTCTGGATAATGCATCATTCCTTAATATATCAAATTTTAGAGTACCCATTGCCTTATCATAACAGGTAAGGATGTTAGCCCATTCTCTTTTCCCCAAATTACAGTAGAGTTATGTCACTTTTTTCAGTTTTTCTACATAACCTCTTTATAACTTTAATTAGTACCTAAACACCCTATTTCTTATTTCATTAATTACAGACAATTTCCCTCTTGATATTAGGACTTCTAGCCTTCCCTATCACCTCTTCTCTTTGCACATTCTACCTTCTAAACTCTATCATCAAAGTTAATAGCTATTATATTTATGTTCTAACTCTAATTAAGCCGTCAAGGTTGACTGATTCTAAGGCTAAAAATGAGCAGTGTTTATAATATTATGACTAGATAAATATTATTTATTACTAATCTGGGCATCATTACATTTTCTGTCTTGTATAGCCTTTTGTTTTTCTTGGAGGTTCTGTTTTCTTTCAACAACATAGCTTTCACTTTAAATGTAGGATTTATATAAGTACAGCTTCTGCAGTTAGCTCTTAAATTCATTTATCCCTTCATTTACATATTAAATTATTTAGGATCCAGTTGAAGGGAAGTTTATCCCACCCCGACTCCTGCCAAAAAGAAGCCAGCTAATAAATGTAGAAAAATGATCAGATTAGAAAAATCACCCATTTATAACACCCACCCTGCCAAAGTTAGAGGAACTGTTTTAGATTTTTAAAAAAGACAAAGTCAACCTAATGTACAAATTTTGATGAGATCCTAGTTTAGGGGAAAAGCTATAAAAAACATTTATGGGACATTGGGAGCATTTTAATAGAGACTGAAAATTAGGCGAAATTAGGGAAATGTTAATTTTATTATGTGTGATAATGACTATGTAAAAGTCCTATTTTTAGAAGGCTCATACTGCAATATTTAGGAGTGAAGGATAATTTTTACAACAATCCTTGCCCATGATTTTAGGCAAATGTTAACTTCTCTAAACATAACTGCTAAAATGAGCTATCTCCACATAGATGTAGAGCTATGAAAATGTTTAGTGTCTATTTACTATTAATGTTATTAGTAAGACTAAGCACTACTAGTCAAAAATGGGGGTGCAAAAGGAAATTTAAAAACCAGTCTATTATGAATGAACTCAATATACAGCTAAAGAAATAAGGCAAACATGAAATAAACATTAAAGACATGAGAATATTTAAACTATCTTATGTCATTCAAATATTAATTTACTTTTATAGGATCAAGACTGAGAAGCTAAAATAATTTTATGATTAAAAAAACTTATTAGAAAAGACAAAGATGGTGACTAATGTCACATTTAGTAAGAGAACAGCCAGCTGAGACACACTGGAAGGGTAATGAGCTCAAGCATGTCTTTACCTCCAAAGAGCAGAGATAATACTGAGAGTGGTAAATAACTACTTATTCACAAAATAGCTTCCCTAGGCAGGAGACTAAAGACATGTCAAATGAAAGGAAAAAGAAGGGACCATAAAAGGAACTGCAGGGAGAGAAAAATTGTATTTCTCATGGGCAAATAAAAGCATAGTAAAGGAAAAATGAACAGGAAACTGTATTATACTGTCCTCTGGGTTGATCATAAATCTTTATTAAAAAAGCGGCGAGGGGCGAGGGCATGAAAGTGGAGGCAAAATATCTGAGATAATAAATACAGGTATAGACTGTGGAGGGGAGGCTTTCAGTCACCCCCAACCATCACCATGTAGTAACTTCCTTTCTCCTAAGAAGTCCATCAGATGTTTTTAGGTTCTACCAAAATCTGGGTGTTTCCCTCTTCCAGAAGCTAAACTATCATTAAGGAAAAGTTAACATCTACAGAATTTTTGACTCAAAATCTTTTTACGTTTCTGTTAGAGAGTAAAGACAAACTGGTTCCCGAATGTCCCAAGTGAATATATAGACTTCTGCTGCAGGGGAGGTCATAAATGGGGTCATAACATCCCTCCCCTCTGAAATAGTCATCAGGCTACATCCATGGAATTCGCCTGGAAGTTTTAGGCCAAGTCCTTCAAGTCCAAGTCCTTTAAGTCCAAGTCTGTAGCTATATAAGTTATATAAACTCCAGGGTCCTGAGACTGCTCAGAGCAGAAGGACCCTATCTTTGTCAGAGGGTTGGAAGCATGGTGGCCATTATCTAAATATTAGTTAGCATTGTTTCAGAGAGCACCTAAACTATATTCTAAGAATGAAGCACAATGTGCCACAGACATGTACGGATTAGCTGTGATGGGAATTCGGGGGAGTGAAGACTGCCTCTGGGTGAGTGGTCTGGGGAAGGCTTCATCTAAAGGTCACATATAGGTTACATCTTAGAGCATGAGGAGAATCTGAACAGATAATCTTGGAGTTGGAGGAATGGGTATGGGATAGGAGAGAAGAAGCTATCATTTCTAGGCCATGGTAATACTGTAAGAGCAAAGAGATGGAGACAAGAGTTCAGGGCGCATCTGAAAATTAAAACCCTCATGATGATACCAGTTGAAATTTTAATGGGAGAGAAAATTTCTATTACAATTATGACAGAACAGCAGCATTTTCACTGAACATACTAGCATCCTATGTATTCTGATTATCTAATAGATAAAAAGTCCTACAATATGTTGTCTTGCAATAAATGTACAGAGTTTGCAAACATCTATTAATACCTGTTTGCAATAAACATGTTCCTTAAACTTGTATTTTGTGACATGACTGATATTTTATAAAAGAAGAAATGAAGTTGATAATACTTATTCAACACTTACTATATGTTTACTAAAACAGACACTAATGTTTGCCAAGGTCTTCACACTACTCCTCAGTATGGTTATAGTGGGAACAGCCCTGCTTATATGACATGGTTCCACTGCTCTGCCTCCTTAGACGGCCCAGGGGCATACACCCGAGCCAAGCTAGGCCAATCAGAGCTCCTTCCCACATGGTGGGGATTCAGGTTCCGAGGTTCCTTAAACAGAATAAAGATAAATATAGCTGAAGGCACCTGTATATCTTCTTACAAACTGGGAAGTAGAGAAAGGCAGTCTGCAGAGTGAAGAAAGCACTTAAACAGCCAGGAACAGAGAGGAAAGAGAGGCTTGACAGTGGTTTTGTCTTTGGTCCCAGTTTGTTTCTAAGGCCTGGCTGCAGTCCTGCTAAAAGCTATGCAGAGCCTAAGACATGCAACCATGAATAGTGGCCCTGACCCCGCCCGTGGGGCCCATGAAACTACCATGATATCCTCAGAATAAGTACCCCTTTTTGCTTAAGCTAGTTTTAGTATCTGTTTCAAACAGGCTCTAGCTTACCAGGCATTGTGTTAGAAACTGTTACATACAAAATCTCATTAAACTCAAAGTGCTATATTTATCAAACTAGAAAGCTACAAAAACATTATAAAGGTAAAATATATTTTAAAGGATGTGGTTTAGTCTGTGTCAACTGGCCTGAATTTTGTTAAAACCAAAAGGTAGCTTTCTATCAGAGTAGAAATACTATTTCTTGTGTTTTTTGATACAGCATACATAAAAAAGTTTATCAATTGTGAAGAATTTCTGACACATACTAACTGTGCAGCAATTACAAGAGCTAAACCATGAGTCAATACACACAAAATTGGAGACAGCCTGCATTTAACTTCCCCAATAATGTCAGACACAGTTAAAAACTTCTAGCTATATATGCACGTCTATCTTGTGGAGAGCAATTTAGTAAAAACACCAAGATAGCCTTTAAGAGCCCTCACACTCTGACATCCCTTTTAGTCTTTCTTAAACCCAGGGGGGGATGCCTTATTTTCACCTGGGGAAAAAACAACATTGATTTTTTAATCCCTTCCTAACATGGACATAATTTTATACAATGGACAAAAAGAGGCTATATTTTAATGACATCAATATAACTCTTTTACAAACTGTTCTCTCCTATACAAGCTTGTAACACTGAGGGGGAAAAAAACCGCAAGAAAGAGTAAAAGAATCATTAAGTGAAAGACCCGAAATTACTGTGATCAGGTATACTTTAAGCATTCTTTCATTAAATACGTTTCTGAAAAAGACATCATTAGGACTATTTTGGTAGACTAGTGGGGCAGGGAAGAGAGAAATGACACAGTAATCTGTATACATATGTACTGATGCCAGTATAAAACTGAACTTTTAACAGCAGGCTTTTAAATGCAGATGACCATTCCCAGTCTTTCTGGCCCATAATGTAAATCAATACCTATTCTATCAGAATTCTCATTATATTATAATAAAAATAGATGCCCATGACCTTCAGGTGCATAGGTGTATTCTATAACATCTCTCCCCAAAATGGTGGCAACA